TGTTTTCAAGATCTACACGTCGTGTAAAAGAAAACCCCAACTTTGCGGACACCCTGTATAATGAAAATAACAGGAGTCCTAGCACAGGTCCTGGTACACCAGAACAAATTTTTTGTGCGGTAAAGTACTGTTGATTTAGACGAACTTTTTGAATCCAATATTCGAGGTAGGTTTGAATAAACGAAAGAGGTTTTTCAGAAAATCCATCCATCCATTTAGAAAGTCACCGAAGCGTTGTATTTTTAATAAACGTTTTAAGTTGACCAAGAATTTATAACTTGAATTTACATCAACGGCTAGGAATACAAAACTGAGGCAGAAAAAAAAATTCGGAGAAATGGAGAAAAGGCGAAAAAAAATACTTTACTCGACGCCTATGGCTTTGCCCTTAGGGCGGCTGCTGTGAAAACAAGTAAAGCAAATTGATTAAGTCGTTTTTTGTGTAGCTGTATAACCGGAATGAATTTTGCATACTTTAGCAGCCATCCGTGGCAAGGACGTCGTCAAATTTATAGTCGACCGTGGAATATTCGTCTCTAAGATCAACACTGAGCAAGGTTATGTTATTCATGTCCTTGGGTTGATATGCATGGAAAAAATTTCACGCATTAATATTCATCATAGCTGGATTACAGGTATGAGATTCCGAGTCGTGATACTTTCCCAACTACGCCATCTATTACCAGAATCGAACATTGCAAGAGTGAAACAGCGATCTGTCTGTTGGACTGTATCCTAGATAATATTTGAGAGCCGGGTTATCACTGTGGCCGCTAGATGCCGCCGATTCTGGTGATTTAGTGGTCTTTTCGCCATTGAACAAACTAGTAGTATACAGGGTGTTTCAGTTTATTGTTGCATAACTTTAAGATTCCATGGAACTTTCAAAATTAATGCATAATTTACTTTTTAGAATAGTTTTTTTTAAATATTTCGAACAATATTTGATGTATAATAGTGAAAATTGGTATACGAGGGTTTTTTGGTACGACAAAACGAACCATGGGCATAGTTTTACTATAGCCGCTAGAGGGCGCTCTCTACTGTACCTGTAGTGTATTAAAATGACCGAAAATTTTTTCTTAGTGCAATTTGTTGCTTTTTGAATAAAAAAACTGATTCTTCGCACTTTTAAACATAAAAAGCTCTCTTGTGAATTTTCGTTATAGTTAGCCGTTTTTGAGATATTTCGATTTTTAAGGTTCGATGCATTTTTAATTATTTATGATAAAATAACACTAAAAAGTCAGTATCTCGATAATTTTTAGAAGTAGGCTGTGCCTGCAAATATTTTTGAAATTGAAAGCAGAATAAGGTTAAACGTCAATTAGTTGACAGTTAGTTTTGTTGTCTCTTGAAACCTGAAACGTTTTTTTGCAATTGTGAATGCACGAAATTAAGTTTCTCTTACCTGTCTTTTAATGTAAGTCTTATAAAAATGCAATTTTTATTCTCCAATCAAGAGTTAGCGGATATTCATTTTGTGTATGTGTTTTGTAAATGGAAACGAAGCAGAAGCAGCCAGAGAATACGCACGAAGATTTCCAAACAGACGACATCCAACTCGCTCAGTATTTGTAAGAGTGCATCGCCAAATAATTGAAAATGGTTTTGGAAATCTCCAAAGGGATCAAAACATAAATGTTCGTCAGCGCAGATTTACCCGTATGATTCTGCGTGAGTTTGATAGAGATCCGACCACAAGTGTTAGGAGAGTTTCTGGTGCCTTGGGAATTTTAGCAAGCCATGTTCACCGTGTTCTTAGAAATGACTATAGACGTCCTTATCATTTGCAACCTGTGCAAGGACTACAGCCAGGGGACGGAGAACGAAGAATCATATTTTGTCAGTGGATTCTTGATAGAACTCATAATAATAGGGAGTTTTTAAGTAACGTTTTATGGACCGATGAGTCATGCTTCACTAGACGTGGAGTGGTAAATTTTCATAATCATCATATTTGGTCGCTTGAAAATCCGCATGCAGTTCGGGAAAGAAATTTTCAGCATGAATTTAGTATGAACATGTGGATTGGTATCTACCGTAATCGACTATTTGGACCCTACCTTTTGCCTGCAAGGTTAAATGCTGCGACCTTCTTGGAATTTTTGAAGGCTGAACATGCAAATATGTTGGATGATGTTATGTTAGATTTAAGAAGATTGACCTGGTTCCAGCTTGATGGTTGTCCAGCTCATTATTCGAGAATAGTTAGAAACTGGCTGGACGAAAATTATCCAGAAAGATACATCGGCCGTGGAGGACCAGTCGCCTGGCCCCCACGATCCCCTGACCTAAATCCATTAGATTTCTTTGTGTGGGGATTTCTAAAAGAAAAAGTGTACCAGACTCCCGTAACCACAAGAGATATGCTAATAGACAGAATCAGGAATGCATGTGATGAAATAAGGCCTTATTTGAATAATGCTATACCACGTTCGATCATTCGTAGATGTGAATTGTGTATTGAACAATTGGGTTTACATTTCAAGCAACTACTTTAGATTTTGTATGTTTGTCCTAACTATCCAATAGCATTTTAGCTGCAAATAATTAATTTAATTTGTCAAAAATAATATTGGAAAATTAAACAAATTAATATTTTGTTTTTTTGAGTTTATTCGGAGTTAGGAATTATTGCTGTGTTTAAAAACACAATATAAACGATCATCTTAATTACTTGTAATGCCCAAATAATTAAAAATTCATCGAACCTTAAAAATCGAAATATCTCAAAAACGGCTAACTATAACGAAAATTCCCAAGACAGTTTTTTATGTTGAAGTGCGGAGAATCAGTTTTTTTATTAAAAAAGCAAAAAATTGCACTAAGAAAAAAATGTCGGTCATTTTAATACAATACAGGTACAGTAGAGAGCGCCCTCTAGCGGCTACAGTAAAACTATGCCCATGGTTCGTTTTGTCGTACCAAAAAACCGTCGTATACCAATTTTCACTGTTATACATCAAATATTGTTCGAAATATTAAAAAAAAAACTATTTTAGAAAGTAAATTTAAACACCCTGTATTTCGGAAGCCACGCATTTTTCAACCGATGTTTATATAGACTTTATGCATTAATTTTAAAACAATAAACTGAAACACCCTGTATATTTTGTTTTTTCGACCACATACGACCAACATTGGATGGCTGTTTCGTGCTATTTGGAAGCTCCTCGGCATGGTTTAGGTGGTCTCAGGTAGGACAACGAGCAACTATCCTCTATGGAAAAAGGACAGCACAAAACATCAAACTCGACCACTGCGAGAGTGAAAACGGCAAGCTGTCTTTTGTTTTTAAACGGGAAACATACTCATGTCTTTCCAAATATATATGTTACGGGTAAAGTTAGAATAATGATTAAACTTAGGTTTACCCGGGTAAACTGCGCAATACCCAGAAAAAGTGGTTAATGTCCAAAATAGTATTGAAATTTTACATATTTCGAACTTTACCCAGGTAAAACGCGTTTTTTTCGCTTTCGGGTGCCTAAAGTTGGATGTAGAAATTATTATTGCATCATCTTCAGGGATGTTCCGACATGCACAATTGTGCATATTATGCACAATTTTACGAACATATGCACAACATGCACCCCCCACACAAAATATGCACAATCGTCAATAAATAAAGTGCATTTTTTATATAAAACTGGCAAAACATTTTCTTAACAGCTTCACGAACTGAGTGAAATGTACTGTTAGACACAAACAAAATACGAATCCAGTAATTATTTGTTACGCATCCGAGTCCTGATCATTGTTCATAATTGATGGCCCTAGTTTAATTTAATAAAGAAATATTTTTTTATTCCTGGATTATTTTCTTAAATTCTCATTAAACATTAAAAAGGTTCCACGTCAATGGTTCCATGAAATTTCAGTTTTTTGAAATTGGCTGCTGCGCCAGAAAATTAGTATACATATATCATATATGCACATTTTTAAAGAAATATGCACAATTTCTATTGACATCTTTGCACAATTCAAAGTCTATCGAGAACAACACCGATCATCTTTCACCACGTGCAGTTCTAAAATGGCAATCGAAGAAAGCGGACGCGCGCGTTTAGCACAGCGTTTTTATGAAGTTTTCAATGAGTTGGTGTCTTCAAAAAGTGTAAACAGTTTTTATTTTAATAATAAACAATACCAAGAAATGTTAGAATCAGTCAAGTTGGAAAAAAATGCTAAAACTAAGACTACTCTACAATATCGACGGTTAAAGAGGTTTGACATATGTTCTGTGAGGGGCGTTGAAAAGCTTATTGCTCGTGTATCATCAGGTGAATCTAGCATAAAACATTATGTTACAAACGACGAAATGTTTGACATTTTGCACGATGCACATTTAGCTATAGGACATGGTGGAAAACATCGTATGGAAAGTGAATGTAAGAAAAAGTACAAGAATATAACTCAAGATATTATTAAGTTATATCTGCGCTTGTGTGAAGGGTGCCAAAAAACTTAAATCTACCAAAAAAAGACTTGTGGTTAGACCGATGGTTTTTTCGGAGAAGAACAGCCGTTTTCAAGTGGACCTGATAGACATGCAATCACATCCAGATGGAGAATATAAATTTATCATGGTGTAACTAAGTTTGTTCAAATACGTGCATTAACATCGAAAAGGGCTGAAGAAGTAGCTAAGAGCCTGATAGACATATTTTGTATTTTCGGCGCCCCATCCATACTACAATCGGACAACGGCCATGAGTTCGCCAACCGCGTCATTGAAGAGTTATGTACAATGTGGAGTGGCCTTAAAATAGTCCATGGCAAACGACGTCATAGTCAGTCACAAGGCAGCGTGGAAAGAGCCTATCAAGATATACAAAATATGCTTATGACCTGGATGGATGATGAAAACTGCAGGCGATGGTCAGAAGGTTTAAGATTTGTCCAGTTAATGAAAAATAGGGCATACCATGACGGGATAAGACAAGATCCTTATGCTGCCATGTTTGGGCATGATATTAAACCCAGAAACAGATAACATGCAAGAAAATATTACTGAAGACGGAAATATGCAAAATATCAACAATAATTATAGAGAAAACGCTGGTAATATGGAAACTTCAGATAATCAAGGGAAATGTTCAGTGTGTGACAAACCAAGTACATCCGGGAATATATGTTGCGAACTTTGTTTGTGCCAAAAAAATATACAGGGTGTCCGCAAAGCTGGGGTTTTCCTTTACACGACGTGTAGATCTTGAAAGCATAAGCAATTTTTCTTAGTACCATATACACCAATGTCTTAAGGGGACCGAGATAAAGGGCTCTGCAACATCAAAAATATCTGAATACCGTCCTGTAGCCGCGACCCGCCGCGATATCCCAGACTGGTACCGGCTACCAGCTGAACCCGACGACAGAACTGGGTCGGGGGTCGGGGTCACTGTGTCAGGTCAGTATGCAATCTTCAACCGACGGTAAAGGGTCACGCGTATAGAGGTAACGAACCCGTATAATCGATTGCGTTTCAAAAAAAAAAAATAATAATAATAATGGCACACTCATACACCAATAATGAACTCGTTGATATGTTGTTAATTTATGGCGAATGTCTTCAAAATGCTACAGAATCGTCGCGAGTGTATGCAGATCGTTTCCCTAGACGACATCATCCAAGGCCCCGCAGATTTGTGTACCTGGTCCAGAGAGTGAGGGATACGGGCCATTTGGAGGAATTTCGAGGTGGGCACAGTGGGAGGCCTAGACAACCACGAATGGTGCATGTTGAGGAAGAACTACTGAATCGCGTAGACGAGAATCCCTCAACAAGCACTAGAGACGTGGCTAGAGAAGTGCAAGTATCAAAAACTAAAGTGTGGCAAACGCTGCGTGAACAGGGGCTGTATCCGTTTCACGTCCCATGTGTACAAGCCCTTCAACCTGACGATTTTTCAGCAAGAGTGCGGTTTTGTGAGTGGTTGTTGCATCAACATGACAATAATCCGGACTTTTTGAAGTGCATATTGGTGCCAGACGAATCTACGTTCACGCGTAATGGGGTGAATAACTTTCGCAACACTCATGTTTGGTCAGTAGAAAATCCGCACGCTGTCCGTCGGGCACATTTTCAACAAACATTTTCGGTGAATGTTTGGGCTGGCATGGTGAACGGTATGCTCATTGGACCATTTATTCTCCCAAATCTATTGGACGGGATGCAATACCTAGACTTTTTACGCAACATTTTGCCTTCCTTGTTAGAAGATGTGCCTTTAAGTGTAAGACAATCAATGTGGTTTCTGCACGATGGTGCACCGCCCCATTTTAGACGCGAAGTGAATGAATTATTTCCGAATAGGTGGATCGGACGTAATGGACCCGTAGCGTGGTCTCCGCGATCTCCAGACTTAACACCATGTGATTTTTTTCTTTGGGGAGAAATGAAACGCTTAGTGTACAAAACTGAAGTGCATACGGTTGACGAACTTCGTCTCAGAATTGAACAAGCTGGTGCTTTCATTCGGGGGAGGGACTCCATTCTCAAAGCCTGCACCGATGCCTGGCTACGTCGTGCACGCACCTGTGTTTTTGGATCAAACGGCGATAACTTCGAACAATACCTATGAAGTACGTTTACCTAAAAACTGAAAACGCGGCAACGCCGTCTTATTTGTTTGGTCTGCACCACCGCCGGCGTCTGCTCGGTAGCGCATGAGCTGATTTCATTTTCTGTTGGAGTGGTATGATTTCAGGCAGAGACGTACTTAGCCTTTCTCGTCAACTGGAGAGTGAGTACTTTTTCCTTTATTTTTTTTTACGTGGTTGCCCTCGTTTCACTACACATTGCCTTTGTTATGTCAAGGGTAGTTGTTTCTGAAAAGGAAAACCCCAACTTTGCGGACAACCTGTCAAACAGACTAGAGGCAAAACGAAATTTAGAAAATCAAGCAAAGAAAATGAAAGCTTTGTCTAATGCAAAGTTTCCGTCACGTTCTGTTGGAGATACAGTGAGTGTGAAAATTGCAAATATATAAAAATATATACAGGGTCCTACTTAAAAATCTAGTTTCATACTCACCTCCGGTCAAACCGGAAGCGATATTCAGTTGTTTTTAATAGATAAAATTAGATATCTTAACACAAAAGTTCAAGGTTGAATAGTGCCTAGTAAAACGATTTCGTTGACACCCGGTGTAGTATAGTCTCTATACACAGAATTTCGCGGGTTTATAGGGTCCGATTGTTATTTTTTTTGTATTATGTTTGCCCCTAAGGAATGATAAAATTTTTAGCCGTATTCATTGTTCACTTTGTTTCTGGCACCCTCTAAGGTTTGACGTGTTTTTATGAGCTCCGCGATTTTCGTTTGTTCAAAGAAACGCCAAACGCAATACTGTAACGATGCTCCAGCCTCCATATTCGCCAGACGTGGCTCCGTGTAGCTTTATCCGAATTCCAAATACCTATGGAGAGAACCTTAACAATATTTATCTAATGTCCCATGTCCCTAAATGTAAAAATAAAACGTTTTCGTATCCCCCATGGTTCACACGTGAAATTATACTTAATATCAAGAAGAAGGACATAGCAAGAAGGAACTGGAAACGTGACGGTACTAAGTTTTCTTATAATCAGTTCAGTAATTTTAGAAAGCTCATTAAGAACCAGATCAGTGTTGCCTACTCTGCTTACGTCCAATCGGTTGAGGATGCCATTGTCAATGATCCTAGCAAATTCTGGTCATTTGCCCAGATCAAAAAACAGCAATCTAGAATCCCCCAAGGATGACACTTAACGGCAATGTCTGCGATACGCCTCAGGATATAGTAGACAGTTTTGCTACCTTCTTTTCAACAGTTTTTATCCCGTCTGGTCTACTAGGGTGATCTCCTCCAACAAATAATTCTACCGATATCATTTCTTTAAAAAATATAAGTGAAGAAAACGTAATTAGGGCTTCGAAAAGATTAAAGAACAAAATGACGTCTGGATGTGATGGTATTCCAAGTTTTTTCGTTAAAGATTGCATTCATATACTAGCGAAACCGCTGGCTTCCATACTCAACCTAATTCTAAAATCAGAGACATATCCAAATATCTGGAAGTCCTCTAAAATATGTCCTATTCACAAAAGTGGAGATATCTCTGATATTTCCAACTATCGCCAAATAGCAATCCTGTGCAATTTCAGCAAGTTGTTTGAGATCATCGCTTATGAAACGGTTTACTGCTCGGTCAGGGGTGCAGTCTCTATTATTCAGCATGGGTTTATGAGAGGCAGATCTACGGTCACCAACTTGGCTATGATTACTCAGTACATTTCTGAAGTACTGGACGGTCAGAGACAAGTTGATGTCATCTACACAGATATTCAGAAGGCGTTTGATCAAGTTGATCATTATGCATTTCTGGATAAGCTTAAAACAGTGGGTATGTCTGATGCAATGCTATCGCTCATGAATTCGTATTTGAGGGATAGAAGGTTATTTGTCGAATATGGTGGTCATAGGTCGAGTTACTATCGGGCCACGTCTGGGGTACCTCAAGGGTCAAATCTAGGTCCATTATTGTTTTTAATATTTACTAATGACTTGTCTTTTGAACTGAAGTGTTTCCATTTGTTTTTCGCTGATGACCTTAAAATCTGCACGTCAGTCAAGACAGTCGAGGATTGCGTCATGTTGCAAGATGACTTAGCTCTAATTTCGTCATGGTGTTCACGAAACTGTCTCAGTCTGAATGTTTCGAAATGTAAAGTTATGACTTATACAAGAAAAGTTAACTATTTAATTTATGATAATTATAACATCAATGGTCAGGTTATAGACAGATGCACCTCTTATAGAGACCTTGGAGTGATTTTTGATACCAAGCTAACGTTTACTGAGCATATACTCGATATCTCGTCGGCTGTCACTCGACTACTTGGTTTCTGTATCAGAAACTGGAAGGGTTTCTCCAATGTTGATACATTAATGACTTTATTTTTTACTTTTGTCAGGAGCAAGTTGGAGTATGCGACTCTGATCTGGTCTCCTATATACCAAAATTCTGTCGTGATCCTTGAGGCCATTCAACGTAAAGCTTTAAAGTATTTTCACCTTAAATGCACAGGTTCTTATCCAGAAAGAGGTTGTGACCATAGTGCCCTATTAGAGTTTTTCGATTTGGATTCACTGTCAACAAGACGAAACATATTTGCTTTGTCGTTTTTGTATGGCCTCATTCACAATAAAATTGACTGTCAAAATTTACTTGAAAAAATATGTTTCCGCGTTCCAAGGCTAGGGAGTCGACAACAAACGGCATTCTATTGTCAAGCTGGCCGTACAAATGTTATGACAAAATCGCCAATTAATCTCATGTGCTGCGTCATGAACAATGTTACTGAATCGTGTGATATTTACAGTGACAGTTGTGCATCGATTATTAACTGCTATAGATCATCCAATCTTATTTAGAATGTGCGTTACTATAAATTTAAGTCCAAGAACCATGTCTCTTTAATTGTTATTTTTTTCAGCGTTTCCTGTAATTGGGTTTCACCTGTTGGAAATAAATAAATAAATAAATAGATAGACGAATAATGAAATAATAAAAAAAACAACGAAATTTCCCGTTCTCTTCTGAATGCTCGTCGTATGTTCTGGGTGCGGTGGATACTGACAAAGAAGCAATATTTTCTACGGAGATATACAATATCCTTTTACCCAACGTTTGATTGCCCTTTTTATAAAACCCTATAGGGTTTCGAAGTCCCGCATGTCCATATCCTTCCAACACCTCCTCCCTTTTTCCATTATCCCTTTGTCAGACAGATCCGCGGATTGAACTTTTTGTTAAGTTGGATATAGCGAAGGAATCGAAGCCAGCCACAGGCAGATGCGGTTACATCGGAATTTAATCTCAGCCCTTCCAGGCTTTAAAGAAAATAAATGAGTAACATTCGTCAAAGTCGACCGTATCACCAGCGAAAAATGGCTACGGTGTTGGATAATCCGAGGATCCGGCCTCGGAGGTTTTCTAGGGAAGACGCAAAGTTGCCGATCGGCAATCTTTCAGTTATCATGGTGTTATTTGAGATCCTCCTTAAAGAGCATCAAACA